GCTGATTCTCGGGATGCTTTTCGCCCGATTCTTCTCTCTTTCCGTATGAGCAGCATTTCGTTTCGTCCAGTAAATTTGTTCATTGCATTTTCATTAAAAGAAAGTAACGAAGAAGAATATCGAGTACGGTTAGATTGAAAAAACTGTTCGGCAATAATAATAATGTTTTTACCAAAATGAAATTTAAATTAGGATCGTTCGCTCAAATTAAACGTAGCTCTAAAGCGAACTATATTAGATCGCTCTAATCTGATAATTGTCCAAAAAGTTATAAAAAGATGTGTTATATCACATAAAAGGGAGAAAATTTTATGAGGTGGAAAGAAACCGGTATTCGAGTTAAATTCTGACTCAAATGAATGTGATTTCCAACTAAATCTTTTATCGCTGGAGAACACATTATTTCAATCAGTAATCTCATACGATGATGCTCAACGTACTATACTTGCATTATTGCCAGACTGCGGATTCTATGGAATAGGTGACTAAAGAAACCTAATTAAAAAATTCCTCTTATCTATTATATATATATATATATATATATATAACGATAAACACTCTACATATTATATCTATTGTACAACTTACAATTATTCCATAAATGCAAAAAAAATCCACAGTCTAGTTATCACGTGAAATTTAAAAACTTTGTTTATCGGCTCACTCGATGTACTTCGGGATGTTGAGATTGAAGAACGACTGATATCGACTGTACTCCTTCGCATACGCTTTTAACGGTATCGTCGACTTCTGATAAGCTATTCTCAATCGGTCGCGAACATTGCACACTTTATCTTCAAGTAATCCGACGGAACTTAGAAAAACGTTTGCCGGGAACTTCAACCTCGGAAGTAGAAAAGGATGTACCTGTCTGATTTGGTGGCAGGCGACCAGCGCATTGTCGTACAAAGTAACGATGCTTTCCTTGAAATAATTAACGAGCTGTTCAATTAACTTGTTAACGAATGATCAACTATTAATTATATAATATTAATAGAAAGTTGAGAGCAGCTGATAACTTTCAATTAAAACTGTTACAAGCGCTAATTGATTATCGACGAATTTTCAAAAACGACGAAAACAATTGCAACAAGAAAGAGCATTTCACGTCCATTGATCAGATATGTACGAAGGATTCGTGGGGGGAAAAAAAGGAGAATGTCAATTTTAACAAAATTTTGAGTTCAATACTTTTTCGCATGTTTCTATGTGTGCTCATCACTGACTATATCCGTATTATAAATTATTTTCCTGAGTTTTATGTTTATTTCGATATATGAGAAAGTACAAAGTTGTTACATATATATAGAACTATTTTAAAAAGTTGTGACACTGTACTTTATATTAAATTTTCATGTAATATTAATAAATAATTATATATGACACCCGTTTTCAAATTCTTTGAAACGATATCCACGAAATGTATAAAACACTATGATATATTCTTTAGATATATAATAATTACGTTATTACTGCGAATGAAATACTATGTCAAACAATGAAATCAGGATTGACGTATAGATATACCTGTGATCACTTAAATACATATACTTCGTTCATGTTTTAAAGATCCAAATACTTGATTTAGAAATAAATAAATATATTTTTATCGAATCTCTTGAACGGTATAATGAAAGTGCACTCACTACAAATTTGTCTGGATTTGTTGTGTAATCTGGTTTCTGCTCATCCATTTGAAGGTCAATAAGGAAAATGGGATTGGCAGCGGGTTTAAATTGGCTGTCAGTGAGATCATTTCCCCAGGAAAACGACTCTTCGACATCCAAGAGACATAAGGCTGGACCCTCCAGAATATCTCCGAACAGCTTGATCGAATTTTCCACCAGAATCCGCAATGCGTACTAATTAAAGCATAATATTGGATTATTTTGTAATAATGCATGTATAATTTAATGTTACTTTTATGACAGAATATTATACATATTAAGAGCTAATAAAATAAACGTTATATTTTAACAATACTTTCCATTAATATTTTTCAATTTTAATGAAAAATTTTTATTCGTAATTTTATAAAACATGATTATTTTTTTTGCGACCATCATATAGCATGATTCTGTACCACTGATTGATAGATACTTGTTTAAAAAATTTGACTTAATTTTGACACATTTTTAACAAATTTCTACTAATTCCACATTATGGTAATCGCAATATATGTATAATCTCTTAGTATCCTATGCAAAACTAGCTCTGAATATTAAAAACACTAATTGTACGAATATTAAAAAATATATATACTTCCACTTATTTCTATAACACTACTATCTAACTTAAAAAAAAAAAAAAATCTATTCTACTTTTTTTATCACGCAATACGGCTACATCCCTAGTAGTAGCCAAATGAAGATCTTGCATCTTATTTTCTGTCAACGATAGCGTTAGCAAAGTTTTCCATTACGTTGCATTAACAACATAAAAAGAAAAAAAGGAATGCAGCCAAAATTTCAAGATAAAGAGAAAAAAGTAATACAGCCAGCATGAACATTACATTTGTTAGTCAAAAAATATTTCGACACGCGTAAAATGCGAATAAATTCATTCTTTTACTTTTAATCACTCTACAATTTCTCTTTTAATGCTCTCTCTCTCTCTCTCTCTCTCTCTCAATTATCATATCGATACAAAAAAGAAAAACGTAATCTAGTTCTGCAATAAATCACGTGTCAATGAAGAAGCTCAAAGCAAAGACATTTATTTCACGTGACTCGCGCTCTTGTGAACCGAACGAAATTCTATTGATTGCTTGCTGGATGTTCCATTTGTACAGAGTGTAGTAAATTTGATATAGTTACAGAAAAAACTAGAAAACAATATCACAAAGCTTTTCAAACGACATACTTTCAAACAGGAGTATCTAAATTTTATTTAGAAAATAAAAATACATTTAAAAAAAAATATTGTGAATTATTAATCATTTAGATAGATAGAAGAAAAGAAACAGACAAAATTAATATAATTATGTTAAACAACAATCAATTAATATAACTGTTCGCTAATAATGAATGAGCTAATCATTAATTTTTTAAAGATATTGTGTAGTTGTCAAGAATATTTGAAGTCGCTAAAACTAGTAATGGCAAATGCTAACCAAATCATTAAAAATACAAAAATGAAATTAAAAATTAGACTTCATTCCAACTTCATATTTGATTTATGTAAATATAAATTTATCTACACCACATCAATATCTATACTCTGCTTTGAAGAATTAGTTTTTTGTCTGGTCACAATCTATTGTCTTTCTAATCATATCTAATCTTTCTCACAAATCGTGATTTTATTGTTGATCTATAATTTTCCTATACCCTAATCATCATATAATTTCTTTTACATTCAATTTCTTTTTGATTCAATAACAATACTAAAATAATATCAAAATATGACTATCTATTTTAAATATAAGTACGTATCTATATAGGTACGTACCTGCATACAAAAAGTGGTGAGATTCATGAAACGCTTTAATTTCATCACGTTATACACCTCGTGATCCTTTTGTTCGAGATTAAACCAACCTTTTCCAAGATCCCTCAAACACATTCTGACTGATTGCGTAATTTTCTCCAACCATGGTTCTTTCAAATATTTAATAATCGTAGTAGTTGCTTGGTTCTGTAGATCTTCGAACTCTGACAATTTTATTTGTTTCCCATAAGAAGTAACGAATAAATTCATCGAGGATACAAGCATACATTCGGCCATGATACACGTCACAGCTTCGCATACTTCTTCGTGAACGTACAGTGTTGTCCAATGAGTGGATTCTCTTACTTTCTTAAATAGA